ACCCTGCAGTTGATTCCAAGAGATGGGGAACCGGTGAGTGCCCTCCCATATAGCAACTCGGTGCTTGGAGGCGAAATCCCGGAACGCCCGAACAAATACCCCGAGTCGCCCACGCACATCACCCCTGAAGCTAACCGGATCCACCGGTGTGGTGACCAGCGTATCCCACGGGGCAACACTTGTCAGTTCTTCCACGAGAGGTCTGGTGATGAGTGAATCCACGTACCCGGCCCTCGGGATGGCGTCCGCTGTCCGAGGGAATATCCACTCAGCCCGAAAAGGCAACTCCGGAAACAGGACCGTGATCTTCATGGAGATGACCGCGACTCGATTCAATTTCTTGGCTGACCAAGGCTCGATGTCTCTGGTAGCGAAGGCCACGGGAGCACGTCTACCAGGAATGAAAGCGGCATCCGGACCAAACGGAGCCACGGGGAGCATCCCTGGCAGTGACGAGTTAGGGGGAGCGGGGATCAAGACGGATCCAGGGGATCCGCCACCGTGAGATGATCCCGGGGATCCGCCACCATGAGGCGATCCTCTCCCACCATCACTACCCGATCCGCCGTCACTGTCGACTTGGATCGCGGATCCCGCAGTGTCGCCTCCGGATCCGGCTGTGCCAGCGACTTGTGGAGGCGGCGTCGAGAGGGATCTCCGCCGGGCTTCGGACCGGGATTGGGACAGAGCCCGTCGCGTGTCTTCCTCCAAGGCATCCTCAGCGGCTTGAGCCTCCTCCGAATCCTCTGGACTCCCGTCGTCATCGTCGTCGTCGTCATCGTCCTCATCGCTCAGAGTGAAGGGAATACGGGCCGGAAGACGACGTATGCTTCGACGACGATCGGTTAGGAGGCCCTGAGCCGTCAGACCAGTCTGACTCCTCATCCTCGTCGTCCTCCGAGCTGCCAAGTCCACATCCCGGGGGAATAACACGTTTAGCTTTCCCCTTCCCGGGTCCAGCTGGCGGATGGCCGATGGAGGCTGGCCGGGGAACGGCCGGCGTCGTCACCGAAGGACCGGCGGTGGATCCCGTCTTGGACGTAGATCCCGTTTTGGCCGTCGATCCGGACTTGGACACCGCTGATCCTGTTTTGGATGGGGCAATGGATCCAGTCTTGGACGCCGTAGACCCAGTCTTGGGTCCGGATCCAGATTTTGACGTAGCAGCAGTGGATCCAGCCTTGGATCCCACTCCCGCTTTGGACGTAGCGGCAGATCCAGTCTTGGACGCCGAGGTAGACTTGGATCTAGCGGTGGATCCAGACTTGGATCCGGCACCCAACTTCGAGGGGGAAGCGGAAGTCTTGGACGCGGGTGTAGATCCCGCCTTGGACACCGAAGTGGATCCCGCTTGCGGAGCCGATTTAGAAGTGGGATCCCGCTTGCGGAGCCGATTTAGAGACCGTAATCGTTTTGGGCTTGGTTTTCGGGGAAGCTCTGGGCCTGCTTATGGGGACGGGGAGGATCCGGTGCTAGGAGCGGGAAGATGCACTACGGCGGGGCGTTTTCCGCAGCTCGACGAAATACGCTCTCACTTTACAGTCCGGAAGAGGAGCAGGAGACGCTTAGCTTAAGGTGAGAGGGCCCCCGGACAGGGGGGGGAAGGGGGGGCCCGAAAAGGGCAGGGCTGTCCACCAGCGGCCAGTCGTTCCGACGGTGCCCAA